TGCCGTGGCGCTCCGGGGCGACTTAAAGATGATTGATGGTGTCATTTAACTTACAGGTGAGGAAAATCCGGAAAACCTCACCCACCATCATCTATATAATTCGTTATCCTTATAACATGTTTCATAAGCAATTGTAAATTGTGCCTTTTAAAGGAACTTTTGTTTCTTTTTACCAGTTTCCATTTTTACTTTCCTATCTGTATACAGATATAAGGAAAGTATAGGAATCATGATTTTTTTCGACCTCGAGTTTTCGACGGATTTTTACGTTTTGAGGTCCCCTGAATCCGTTTTGACTATTTTCGCGATGATGTCTGTGTGTGTGTCTGTGTGTGTGTCTGTGTGTGTGTCTGTATAACGCATAACTCATGAACCGATACACGGAAAAACACCAAATTTCAAACTTAAGCTTTGTTCCAACGTCTAATGAGCTGATTAGATTTTGGGCAGAGTCGGAACATCTGGGGGGGTACTTTATAGGTGGTCATTTTTATATTTTATGGAATATATCTGTTATTTACGTTTGGGGAAGAAAATTCTTCAAATGAAAGTTACTTCTTATTTTATTATCTATAATTTTTGTTATATACAAAATTTTCCTAAAATGGTCCGTATTCGAGAAATTTGACAAAATGTAAAAAAATATTTTTTTTTATAAAAATTGTTCAAACAAAAGTTGTTTGTAATATAATTCTCTATAATTTTTATCCTATAGATAATTTCTCTAAAATGGACCGTATTCGAGATATTTGAGAAAATGTGTAAATTTCGAAATTTGAAGAAAACTCAAAAATGGATAAAGAAAAAAACATTAAATTTTAAACTTAAGTTTTATTTCGGCCTGACGTGAAATGATTAGATTTTGGACAAAGTCGGAACATCTGGGGGGGTACTTTATGGGAGGCCGTTTTTATATTTTATGGAATATATCTGTTATTTATGTTTGAAGAAAAAAATTGTTCAAATAAAAGTTACTTCTAATATTATTATCTATAATTTTTGCTTTATGTAAAAATTTCCTGAAATCGTCCGTATTCGAAAAATTTGACAAAATGTGCAAAATTCTGATTTTTATGAAAATTGTTGAAATAAAAGTTGTTTGCGATATCGATCTCTATAATATTTGTTTATACATGATTTTTTTAAAATGGACCGTAATGGAAAAATTGTAGGAAAAGTGCTAAATTTAAATTTTTCAGTATTTTCATTTTCAATTAATATCTATAGAAAAATGTTTCGCGGTAGATGTATGTGGACAATGTTTATATTTAGTTTATCCTCTAAAAATTTATAGAGATGCTGCAATAGGTTGTACAAAATAACCGGAAAAAGCCTGTAATACCTAGATAGGAAAGTCATGTGTTGGACACATCAGATTTTTAAGTTTGTTACGAATAAAAATCAATTTAAGTTAAATATTTATTATGTCACTATCTATATACTTCTTAATTGTATTTCAATTTAACCCTCATCTAGGTATTCGAAAATCATTTTGACACTGATAAATAATATCTGGACTTATAAGGGCTCAGGGCCTTATTATCAATAAGTCTAAATTCGGCCATGGGTAGGAGAGGCGTATATTTTTATGATTATCATTTTGATCTATCTAAAACTCACCTCGGCACAATCATTTCTTAGATTAGCCCTCGACGGTAATGATGCCTCGATATATATTCTACTATTCCTAAACACTCCCGAGGTAATAACGTGGAGCGTTGCCATTGCACTATATTTAGTACTTTACTGAACTGGCCCATATAAAGTGTGTGTCATAAAGTTGGATCCATATGCGATTTTTTTTATTAAAAAAATGTTTTAGGTTAGGTTGAAAATGAGTGGGATGGTCTCACCGCCTTATACTGTGACCTAAATGGATCTATTGTGACTACCTAGTAGGGAATTAACCTATGATGATAACTTAATATAGCCCACATCAAAGTTTGCTACTGACATTAGTTATCTGTCAAATTCGCAATATTTTTGAAAAATCGTTCAAAAATGGCTTTTTTTTAATACGGATCCAACTTTGTGGCATACAACGTATAAATATTTATTCTGATTTAAACGAAGAGATTAATAAAATCCATTTTCAAGTGTATTAAAATTATTACATAAGCATTTGAAAATGCTGAAAATTATGTATAGTATATATTGGTCCGAAAGCGACAAGTTGATTAGGTCCACCCTTTCTATCCACGATCCAGCTAGCCTTCAAAAACGAATAGATGACAACAAGTGATGCCCGAATCGCCGTGGTGAATGATTGATTGGTCAAGCTGTAACGCGGGGATGCGGACGCTCGTCTCCATATGGTTTGCGCGTTAAAACGACCAGAAGCACTTGTTAAATTAGCGAACACCAGCTTTTCGCATTGCTTTAAACACCCAAGCCAAAGGATGCACGAAAAGGCGAAAAAAACTCAAAGTGTAAGACATTAGTAAGTAATGCCAAGACGAAAGATTTACTAAAACTTTGCAAATCAGGTGCTACACTTGATGAATTTCATTATTATCATAATTTACCCGTATCCAGAAATGTAAAAAAATATGAACCTTCCATTAGAGATATAGACACATACATTGAATATTATGATTTGTATGTAGACAGCTAAAATAAGCTAAGTAAGTTTTTTTTTTCTTTTGCTACCAATCAATAAATTCCTAGTTTATACTTTGTGAACACTTTTTTCCATTGGAGTTATTGTTTATTAAACAGTTTGAAGCTTTACTGATTTTTTTATTCCATTTTAAACTTCTGAACAACGTTTTCTTGGGGCCTGTGTAACATAGCAAACATGTGACCCGAAAGGGTATGGCTGGTCTACGAAATAGTGGCCGAAAGGTAGTACGATCGTACCTGCGGCTGGAATTTTCCGAAGTGGTTGGCGGAACCGTCATTTAATTTTGAATCCCTTCAAATGAGACGTCAGACAATTAAAAGATGTAAAAAATATCGGCTAAAAAAACGATCGTATTACATATCACTTCTTTGAAAGTCAGAGATGAGGTATGCAAATCGCTAGATGGGTAGGCCATTGCTAAAGAGATGTCAGGCGCCATCACAATTGTAATTGTTTATTGATTTTTTTGTTTCGTTTCCCTTGCAAAATCTCCCCGCAAATTAAAAGTAACTACATGTTTTTTCTATACATATATTTGATTAGATAATTCATTCGACATAGCTCAGATAGTGTGTTCAACTTTGGATTTCAACGATTTCGCAACCAGAGTTCAATTCCCGATAAAAGCTTTTTTATTTTTGAAAAAAATATGAAAAAATACCTACTATAGTTGTTTATTTATAACACATTTTATTTATCATAATAAAACCCCTACAAAATCCATTAATCTTCCCACTATTTATTTTGTAAAATATTGTACGTTGGTAAAGTAGGTATCATTTTTAATAATAATATACAAAATTTTGTTCAAATTATTGTTTTATTTAAAAAAGAAAACTATTGTATTCTAATATTTTTTGAGCTTAATTTATTAGTATATATAGTACAAAGTAAATAGAGGAACGATTAATGGATTACCTAACTGTAGAGGTTATAAACCGCAATAGTACGTTTTTTCAATTTTCATATTTTAAAAGATCGCTTTTATCGGGAATTGAAATCGAAAGTTGTGGTTTATGTCAAGTGAATTATCTAATCAAATGTGTGTATTAACCGGAAAAAAAGAGATTATGTAGTATTTTTAAATTGCAGATTTTGCAGCGATCTTTGTGTCTGACGATTATAATATGCATTTAAGGTCATGGAGATATCTCAAAACGATTTGCGACTTTCAAAAAGTTGTATGTAAATTTTTAGCCGATATGTTGTACAACTTTGAGTTGTTCGACATTTTTTTTGCAGGGATTCTAAACCTTGAAGGCGACACTTCCTGATGATCCCGCCAACCACTCCAGCCGGCCGCTAGTTCTGTCTATAACACTTTTCTTTATTGTATGACTGGTTGTTTACCTACTAGTTACAATTTATTAATAATGTGACTACTGCTCTGACGTATAAATAATATAGTTGCTTAAATAGGCATTGACTAATATTTCAATATCTGTTACAGCATCGAAAAAAAATTGTAACAAATGTACTTCTTATTCCTAATGCCATAAACAAACAAAAAAAAATCAGCCAGATAGAGTCACGATTTTCCCAAAAGCACGAAAAAAACACACATAAGCCTTTATTTACATAAATACATATATTATATTGATTTGTCAATTAAAAAGAAAACACATAAAACTGGAATATAAGTTACAAGAAAAACTGGAGTATTTAGATCAGTCTCCAAAATTTGATTCCAAACAAAAAATATTTTTAATAACTACTTAAGACTAATTATGTGTGCAAGATTCAGCCTAATATTTATCTAAATCCAGGCCAAATATAGTTTTAATAAAGAACTATAAATATATATAAAAAATAAGAAACAATAAAAAAGAGTAGTAAAAATTAATATTATCATTAAAATTTTATTAATATATTTACATTTAAAAAAATTAATCCTAAAATATGAGCCAAAACTTAACCACTAATTTGATTATATTTGTTAAAATCAATGTTAAATGAGCATCTCCTATAATTGATATTCAAAATGTTGTTGTATAGTCACAGATCTTTCGTTCTTGTTGCTTGATTAAGTCATTTATTTATAAACGTCAATGTTAAAATGAAACATCAATATATGTATACATTTTAAAAACGTCAAATGTCAATGTGATAATTAACCTCCTTTTTCCTATCTAATTTCTAAGTAAATAATAACATATCTTACATTACTAAAAATAAAACTTAATTCAATCGATCCTAAATGTTTTTAGTACTTAATTTTGAAATATAAAAATCACTATTCGAGTTATTTTTTTTTATTGATCATTATTATTTGGAAACTGGTCTAATTTACAGACTTTGACGGAACGAGAACACAATAACTGTTTAAAAAATTTGGACCTCATATTTACAAATAATCCCTCTATTTCAACTGGCCCACCTGGATTTTTGCAGGTCAATTTGACCTTCTAGCGTTTTGGCCAAATATATTACAAAGAGTTGCGACAGGGCTACTCCTAGGGCTATGCCAGCGATCGTATACAGATTCCTCTCCGCCCAGGATCGGACTATCTCTATGCATCCCGACGTCCACACTTTTTTGCCCGCTTCGGCCACCTAAAATTCAAAATACTATTTATCCATGGAAAAAATTTGCACAAACTTGTATACTATTTTTAGATTCAACCAACACTGATTTGGTTTCATCTTTACCAGCAACCATACAAGGCAGGGCGTTATTAAAATACATGCAGATATTAAAACAGATAAATAATTAGCAACAACGAACAACTATTAGACTAATCTTGTTTATAAAAATTGCTAACATTCATGCTGTTATCGACGTAAATGTCAAATTATTATGACAGAGTATGGGAGAGTCTTGTTACAAGGATTGTTTATGATTATAATTCGGAATTGACTTAACATAAGGCTCTAAAAAGCAGAAAATGCTTTCAAAATTAGATTAAGGAAGTATATTTACATTCTTAATGCAAGTTATTAGTTTAATGTCTTTTTCTTGATACATCATAGTTGAAGTCGATTTCCAGGAAAGTAAGCAAATTTATTTAAATGTGATAGCAGCGTAAAGTAAGCGTCTGAGCTGTAATTACAGATTCATTTATAAAACGTGTGCTCGCACATCAAATAAACATGCACAAACCATTTCAACTCAAATTAACAGCTATTTCGCTCTGTCTAATGCGATAGCTAGGTATACCTGATACAAAATACAATCTGAATGATTGCTATAAATAAGAGCTTAATTTTGAATGAATCGATTAGTATAGTAGTTTATTTTTATTTTATTTAAGTTATAGTAAATTGTTAAAAATTACATTGGTGTATTTTGAATGTTGTGCTAAAATCTACACACATCGCCAAAATTCTTGGACTCCCCTCGTAAATGTTAAAACGAAATATTTATCATGGCTGCTTTTTGTACATTTAATCTTTACTTATCTCACCGTTGCTGCGCATCTAAAAATAATTATAAAAACAATTTCCAACAATTTTAGATACCAATGTTCAAAAAGTGGTTCATACTGATTTAGCGTTGACTGGAAATGTGGGACTGGGCCTCCTAGGGTAACTAATGCAAACAAAGATCGGTATGTAGCAGGTTATGTACGTTTGAATCAAACCATGACAGTCTCAGCTCTAAGAATTCATTTTAGAAGAACGTATGGTCGATTCGTTTCCAATACCATAATACAGCGAAGAATTGCTGGAGCCAATTTGCGATTAAAAGTACCAAGATTACTTCCCAGACATAGCCGCTTGTCTACAGTGGGCACAGGAACACAGAAACTGGCTTTTAGCTCAGTGGCAAAATGTCCTTTTTTGGGACGAACCAGATTTGGTTTAATTAGTGATAGTCGGCGACACAAAGTTTGGAGAGGACCAGAGCGACCTGAAAGACTATCTTTTGCTAGAAAAGTAATTCCATACCAAGGAGGAACAGTAATGTTTTGGAGAGGCATAATGCATGGTCCTCATAAGCAACTTATTCCCATTCCAGACACTATGACAGGAGGTAGATATGTTCGAAACATTATTGAATCCATTATTTATCCTCTCCGAAAAGAAATTGGAGCCAATTTCATTTTCATGGATGACAATGTTAGGCCCCATCGCAAGAGAAGAGTACAAAATGCACTAGAGATTCAAAATATTCAAAGATTACCGTGGCCAGCAAATTCGCCAAACATGAATCCCATTAAGCACATTTGGGATTTCGTTGGAGGAGCTACCTCAAACAGAATTAATCCTCATATTACCCTCGAGGAACTCACAGTCGCGGCCCAAGAAGAATGGAACAACATCCCAATGGATACCCTTAACGCCCTTATTGTTTCCATGCACAGGCGAGTTAACACCTTACTACAGAAGAGGGGGGACCACACCGAATATTAACCCTACACTGCTCAATTTTTTAAAATTAAACTTCAAGGATGTAGGGAAAAATAATTTTAAAAAATTAGGATCAAAATTTTTGTTTATTTTGACAAAAATATAGTCGTATCAAATCTGATACATTAAGCATTAAAGTATTAAACATGTTACTGATTATGAAATGAGACAAAACAATTATTGTTGTTTTTATTTAAACATAGATGTACTCCGCATTTAGAGCATTTAACATGAGAAAATGAAGAACACGAGGGAAATTTACATCTCTGTCTTGTTTGATCGTATATTGGCCAATGATCCACCGAATCTGTCTTTGGGTGGTACATGAGAGAAGACTGTAGATTTTTTCTCTTTTCTGTCAGCATTGATTCAACTGATTCCTTGGAAGGCCTGCCTCGCTTTCTACTGCTATTGTCAGCCTTACAAAGGCACTCTGCTATTTCGAGACGAACATGAACCTGAGACATCAACTTCTCTGTTTCGTTCTGTGCCCGTCTATAAAGCAGCCATGTGTTGACAAGCGTCATGTCAATTAGGTGGTAAAAAAGTCTTATGTACCATTTTTTTGATCTTAGTCTAATTTTGTATCTTCCAATAAAGCTGTCCATGGCATCCACCTCTCCCATGTTGGTATTATATTCTGGAACCAAGCTGGGACACTCAATTTGTATGTATTTTTTGCTTTCTGTCCCATCGTTTTACCTCAGTTAGAGGCATTTTGCCTTTAAATGTTGATAAATATGTGACTGGTTTGTTATCTAACCATATTACTGAGGATATATCGACTCCATCAACACTACAAACAAACTCTTCTGAAGTACCTCTGTCTTTTTTTCTTAACTCAGTTGGTAACTTGCAATTCGGAATCCTTGGACGTCGAACCGTACCCAGCGAGTAAATTCCTCTGCTACCTAAATATGCAAGCAGGGAAACTGATGTGTAAAAGTTGTCAAAATAGACTCTGTAGTTTTGATTTGAAGGAACAATTCTGCATAGCCTTACAACGATGTTGGCACAATCGAAATTTTGAATTATTTTTGTTGCCACTATATATTTCAAAATTATATGAGAAGCCATCACTTCCGCATAACACATACAGTTTATAACCCCACGTGTGTGGTTTGGCCGGAATATATTGTTTTAAATGATGGCATGCTTTAGTAGCACAAAGTTGCTCGTCTACAGAAAGACATTTATTCAAAGGTACTGACTGAAATCTGGCATTTAGAGCATCTATAACAGGTCTAAGCTTATGCAACTTATCATGGTCTGGACTTTCTCAGGGCAATGTCTTGTCATTATCGTTGAAGTGCAGATGTTTTCGAATAAATTCAAAGCGATTTTGACTCATAGTCTCTTTGATTTAGGGAAAGCCTAGTTTTGTTGACCAGTAGCTTCGTACGTTGGGCATGTGAACAACTGACATGTATATGCAGATCCCAAGAAACTATTTTATATCAACTGCAGATAATGTAGCTGCTTTATTAGGATCTTTTTTGATAGAGTAAAGGTTTGATTAATCTGCAATTTTTTGAAATAAATTGTCATCAAAAAAATATTTGAATAACTGAAATGGTGTTTCAAGCTCCTTTATTGATGAAGGTAATGTTGAGTTTCCTCGAAATAATAGAGCATCTTCACTCAAAACAAGATTTTGCTTACGCCATAAAAGACTGGACGTTTTCTTTTTCAAATTACCTGCCTCTTGTTGTGGTTCCTCTGGAGTTTGATTTGACGTGGTTGCACTCTGTTGAACTTGGTTTTCCTGCTCAATATCTCCATCAGGAATAATTATGGTACCATCTTCAAACTGCAGTGGTAGTTCTTCTAGTTCTACAGGCTCAATTTGATCAGAAGCAGAATCAATTTGATCAGGAGCAAAGTCATCCAGATCATCATCTGAATTTACCTCAAAATCATCCTCACTGTGGAATAAGTGGGCTACACAACAGGCTACAGCATCCTCCAACTCCTTTTCAGTAAGTGGTCTTATCCATTTTAGTCGATTTACCATCTAAAAAGTAAAAAAAAATCTTTGAAATTGAACTAAAGCCTCGTAGCAAATATAATGAAATTTTTACTGGAGTTTACACGATGTAGCCAATATGATACGACCTAATTTTATTACAGAATTTACTGCTTTAGAACAACGAAACTTATAAATAAACAGAAGAAATCAAAAAGTACTTACCTTTACAATAGAAATAGCCAGCAAAAATAATTCTAAAATCGATAAACTAAGAAATATCGAGTTAAAAAGGCGGACTGATTTGCATAGACAATGTACCCACGTGCAACCGAACACAACTAAACAAAATAGCCGGTACAAATTGCCGCATACTGAATTTTCGACTGTATAGACTCATTCAGTAAGGTAGTAGCTAAACTGATATGGTGCCAAAAATAACATGTGTGACGAATATCCCGGTAAAAATATGGTTGTATCAAATTTGATACATTAGGCAGTGTAGGGTTAATGCATCTTGGATTTCGCTCTTAAGAGGTTTTCTTCTAGATTTCAAATTCTGGTAATCATTTTATTATGCACTATTTTTCGTTTGTATTTTTTTTCTTTAGTTAAAATTTAATTCAGCCAATTTGCATTGGATACACAACCAAATTAAATATATTATGTAATAGACTTCTTGACTTATAATAATAGTGACTCATTTTGACAAACATAAGGGGGTCCAAGAATTTTGGCGATGTGTGTATTTACAGAAGAATCAAATATATTATCCAGAAAATTTGCCAGTCTACGCTGTTAAAATTACTATCAAGTCTATAAAAAGTAAGTAGACTCTTCTAGAATGTGCAAAATATGAAAAAATATCAAGAATACCAAGGAGTATATCCTACTCAATTAACCAATAACTTAGGTACCATTAGGTGTAGGGACAAATAATAAAAGAAACACTATTAATTTTACAATATACAGTATTGGCCATTGAAAACCTTCCAATACGTTTTGCTAGCGTTGACGAAAACTACAGAACATTAGTGCAAGAAGGAAACTAACATAACAAGGTTGTCAGTAAACGACTGCCTGGATTCGTTGGGATATATGTGTATCGTGACTATTAACCGCCTGTGTGTGTCATGTGGTCTGTCTGAGCTGTGTGATGTGAATTGCAAATAGGCACACGACATATATCCCCACGCGGCCGTTGAAAACGTAGACAATATTCGTTTCCTTCTCAATCTAATGCAAAGTCACCATAGTTTTCGTTTCGACACTGGCAAACCATTTTGGAAGGTTTTCCATAGCCGATACTGTACACAATTTTTACAAAAAATTAGACAAACAAACCACTTCAAATCTTAGTGTTGACAGAATATTTTTCTTAGGTAGTATATTTGTATAAGAAATTAAATAGATTCCATAAAAATATATTAGATGTTTGCACACATTGCGTTCGGTCTGCCAAGATCCTTTAACACTTTTAACTCCAAACGACCCTTTAAGCGTTCGGTTTAGTCCGAATAGTGACAGTTTAACACGCTTAAATGTCATTTAAAAGCACCCTAAAATTTGTCCCGCTCCAGCCCCTGACTATCCGAACTCGCCTACAGTGATGAGAACCCACTAGCAGACTGACGTGACGTCAATATGACGTAAAAAAGGTGATTTTTGCACCTTAAGTGCAGGTTGTACAATAGGCAGTAATTCATGTGAAATCTTTTATACCTTAAATCAACTCAAGCAAACAGCACACAATTTATGATTGATTTTTGATTTTGTATTTGAAAGAATACTCTTTTTAACAATTACTTTTATTTTTACTAGTTGGTTTAACAAATTAGCATAGAATAATGGTCGGAAAAAGGGGAAACTAAGCCATTTTTAAATTGAAAGTTAAAATTGGTGCCATTTGTTATTGGACCTCATACACTCTTGTCACTGTTAAATCTGTACATGTACTTTAACTTTTAACTTTAACTTTATTATGACATATCTTACCGAAAGAGTTTGAACTCCATATCCGCACATAATATTGATGAGTCTTTGATTCAAATCATTTGTACAACAAGAAAATGGTACCCCACATCGTTCAACGCTAGGTGAGCTGCAATTGAAGTATTCATTTTTACCCCAATCCATATATCCCTCTGAGCTGAGTCCGCAACACTGAAACTATAAACAACATTGCATAAAATTATTTAAACATCGACATAAACTTATTTTAGTACCTCTTGTTGAGCAAAATCAATCAAATTTTGAAGATCAGGATCGTCACGGTAGGTGTGTATAATTTTATCAGTAAAATTCTCTTCTAGAATTGATTGCATCGAGTGAGGAAATACAAATCCTACGATTGCTATTCCCATTTCCAATAGAAAGAATATTAAGAGACATAATGAGTACTACAAGAAAAATTAATGGAATTTTAAGTGGTGAACCAACAACAATTCGTGATTAAATATATTGTTTTAACATTAACATTATAATTTAGTTTTTTTTTTAATTTTACAAAAATAGGACTTACGAATTTGAGCAAACACGTATTCTCTCTGAGCGCTCCGACGCAACCGGCAAAACTTACAATAAAAACAACTCCTCCCATAATAACCATAACCAATGATATATTCAATATCACATCATAAACATTCTCGAGCTTTACCCAACCTGTCAACTGCCATTTGTCTACAAAAGCGTATAGACCTATGCCGATAAGCAGACCTCCAAATAACTGAAACAAAATACCTCAATTAGTGCTAAAATAATGGTTCATTGGTAAATTACTTTCTAATTTGAAGAAATGCAGTCTTCAATAATACCTGTATCCCACATGACTAAATTGATGTCATCAGTTGACTAAATTACCATTTAAGTCCAAGTTCAACGCATTGTCAATAACACAAAAAATACAGCTCTGAATGATAATATTTTCAGAAATTGTTTTTAAAAATGGGTTCAGAGTACAGTAAAGAATAGTGGAAAGTCTATAGTTTGTTTTACTTTTAATGCATATTATTTTAATAAGTGATATTTAAAAGTTATGGACTTTCCACCATTTTTTAAAGTATTTAAAAGCTAAAACGCAAAATACACTCTTTTATTTTTGCCCCAATTATTTCAGGAAAAATGTACATACGTTTTATGAAAATCATCATGTTACGTATTTGTTGACATTAAGAGATAGAAATTTAAAGTGACGTCTTGTATTACTTCGAATGAAAAATCGTTTTCTAACCTAAGAAAAAAGTTAAGTTGGGTCTTAATTAATACTTAAATTGTCACAAAAATCAAGTCACTAAGAACGGTAATTTTCATTAAACTGCTTGTTTTACCAAATCATGTGGGAAACAGGTGTTGTTGAAAATTCATTATATATCTGATGACTGTACAATGATTTTGATTTGTTGAATGATTGGAAATGGAACAGTTTGTCATACTGATGACAATTTACTATTTGAGGTAAACCTTGTTGGTCCGGGACCAAAATTGGACGTCCGATTACCATGAACACTAGGACGTCCTTCGAAGGATGTCGTCTGGACATCCTATTTTGGTCCCATTTCGACAAAACGTTCAGTTTTCGGTCCGAGTCCAGGACGTTAATGGGGCGTCTATGGGACTTCTTATGTACTGGTATCGTTGGTCTTTGAATCTATAACTTGAAATTCAACGTTTTGTTTCTGCAAGAGTAGGACAGAAAACCTAACTTATCATTTAATTTCAAATGAACAACACCAGCTTCAATTTTCGGCATTAAATAATTAACTTATATAAGTGAGTTAGATTAACAAAGAAGAAAAGAAGGTTATATAGTGTTGTTATTTTCTTTATGTCGGTGGTAAAGTGGTTATAAAGTGAAGTGAGTGTTTTGTGTTGAGGTGAGAATAAGTGATATACAGAGAGGCCCAAAAGTCTGGAAACGGCCAATTATCTCGTAAATTGCTAGTTCTAATTGTACAATATTTGGGGTATACCTATTTTGAGATACGGAGATTCCAGATTTGATATTTGCAATGTTGCCAGATTTGCCGTTTCTCTTATATTATTAGTCACTTTGGTTTTTCAAATTCATCACCCTGTATATTCAGTCATTATTGAAATCTCCTATTCAATACGAGTTCAACCATATGTTACACATGAATTTATGTAGTCTGGAAGGTCTTAAATGAATAATGTTTAACTCTAGCTAGTCTTTTTAAGATAAAAGTAAATAAAGCCTTTTTTATTTTTTACATTTTTGTTATTATTACGTCCCGGTACCAAAAGAGGATGTCCCTCGGACATTCTTCATGGTTCTGAAGGATGTCTTTTAGACGTCCGTGTGCTATGTGGGCAGCTATAAATACAAAAAATATTACTTTCCTGTAAAGTTAACAAAACAGACCATCTAACTATTAAAAACTACTAGATATTTTTTAAAACCATTAATGTAAATAATGTAAAAGTGACCTTGAGTGAAGTTTTTTCTAAAATTTCTCAATTAAAAGACAGTTTCTCTTGTGGTCCAGATGGAGTTCCATCTTACTTTTTAAAGAGGTGTGTCTGTACTGTTAGTACTCCTATTTCTATTATTTACAATATTTCACTTGATTCAGGAGTATTTCTGGATTTTTGGAAATAAAGTATTATAAGACCAATTTATAAATCGGGATCTAATCCTGACATTAAAAATTACAGAGGAATATGTTTGCAATCTAACATTCCAAAAATTTTCGATTCACTCATTACAGAATATTTATCATGGGAATATAAAGGGCTAATAATTGATCAACAACATGGTTTTCCACAAGGAAAATCTACAGTAACTGCCTTGTTAAGTTATCAAAATGAAATATTGAGTGCTTTTGAAGGGGGGTATCAAGTACATTCTGTCTATACTGACTTCTCAAAAGCATTCGATAGAGTTAACCATGAATTGTTGATCGCCAAGTTGAGCTCATTTAAATTGGCTATCTAGTTTTTTAATTGGTAGGTATCAGTGGGTCAAAATTGGGAATCACATTTCTTATTTGATTGAAGTATTGTCTGGTGTTCCTCAAGGATCCCATTGTGGTCCGCTTCTTTTTAATCTATTTGTAAATGACATTGCATGTTGTATAAAAAAGTCTCAGTTCCTACTATTTGCAGATGATTTAAAAATCTTTAAAATTGTTGAAAGTATATCTGATTGTTTTGATTTACAGACTGATATTAACAACCTAGCATTGTGGTGTAATGTAAATTGTATGAATTTGAATTTAAGTAAATGTTTTTATATTAAGTTTAATAGGTGCCATACTATTATAGACTAAACTTATTGTATCAATTCATTAGATCTTGAATTGGTGACTCAAATAAAGGACCTTGGCATAATGTTTGATGAAAAACTTACTTTTTCAGAACACATTACAATATCATTAAAATCCAGAAAGTTGTTGGGATATATACAAAGAATCTCTAATGGTCTCTCAATAAATTCTTTTAAAATTCTTTACTGCACTCTTGTTCGTTCTAATATGGAATATGCAGCTGTTGTCTGGAACCCTTATTATTGCATTCACAATAATAAACTTGAAACGGTTCAACATAAGTTTCTGAGACGCTCAGCATATAAATTAGGAGTGCATATAAATAATTATGATTATGCTAACCTATGTTCCAGATTAGAGATCACAACTTTGCAGAACAGGAGAACTCAATTAGATCTATGCTTCCTATTCAAACTTTTGTCTGAGTCAATATATTCTCCTGATATTTTAATAAAAATTGGTCTTAAAATTAATAGTGCAACCAGAGCTAATGAAACTTTTCTTATTAGACACCATAGACAAAATTACGGATGTTATAGTCTATCAACACGATTGGTTAGGAGTGCTAACAGTATAGAAATAGACTTGGATTTTTTTGGTTAGTCATATCCTTCATTTAAAAGAAGTATTGCTAACCACTTTCTTAATGACACTTGAAAGTACTGTTATTGTCTGCCTTATTAATCAAATGTTTTAATCATATGTTTTAATCAAATGTTTTAATCAAATGTTTTAATCAAATGTTTTACATGATACAATTTTTGATGTTGTTCTTTATTTTGTATTTGTGCATACAACATATATTATTATATTTTTTATTGTAAAATGGGGTTTTCCCGTAAATAAATAAATAAACAAAAAGCATAGATTTACTAGAGAATGAGGCTTACATATATTTTTTTGAAATTGCCTTTTAAAAATGATCAAAATAAGTAAATACTTTTTGAAGGTTTACAAAAAATCAAGGATGGACTGAAGCTTAAATTTAAAATTTAGTCACAGCGGATTTATGGGACCCTAAAATTTAAAGATTCATCAAAACTTAAAGTCGGAAAGAAAAACATACTTTCTATAGGTAATTTTTTTACGGGATACAGAAAAGTAAAAAAAGTAGATACCTGTAAGAAATAAATTTGAATAGCTGTTCCCAAATTAATTAATGAATTGTAACCATTTAAAAAATAATCAGTATATTTAATCAATTCTAAATATAATTATGTAGATTCTTTTTTAATTTAATCTTTGTTACATTTGACTATCATTATCAACAGTATTATATTTAAAACAATGTACAGATATACATGTGTATTGGGTATAATAGGAGAAAAGCTAAAAATAAATTTTTTTGATAAGAATGAGTCATAAAAAATAATTTTATCACATACATTACTGGTACCTAATCTAATTTTGTCACAACAACAATCTTTTGAAGAGGTATTCTACATAAACACCCTGAAGATTCTTAAATCATTAAAATTCGATATTTAAACAATCTTTATTACTTAGTAAACAGATAAATATAAAATATTTTGCAAATATCTTAAAACAATGGTCTATGCTAAGAAATGATTTAATCAACTGTTGCCATTTAAAAAATATTCTAATAGAGTTTATAGATGTATAAAGCATTGTAATTGAAATGAAACTAATTGAACTCTTAGGTAAAAGTAACAAAATTATATGAATTATAATCATCAGTACCTACTGTTCTACTTAAATGATAATGACTCACCCAAAACACAAAATTGAGAACAAAAATTAGATACTTCACACAAGGGCTCACATATGTGAAGTTACTGGTAGGCTGCCTTCTAAAATCTCTTCTGTAAGACGTCGGCTGAGCCATTCTAGTTTAAAGATATTTTTTTTATGTGAATGTTTCTGTTATTGTGCCCTAGCACAATATCAAGGAATATTGTGGATCATCAAAATAGGAGATGCACACTAATATCAATCAAATCGAAACTGCATGTAACTGCAAATTTAGTTTTTAATGGCGAATTCAAATGGATATATCATTCACAAGTGAAAACTTTATTACAGTTGTAACAAGTCAACAAAAGATAATTTTCACTATCTGATATTGACAGTTAAACGACAGCAAAACAAAAACATTTCTCTAATTCTTCTTTTTATGTGGCGTTTTATGCTTTATACCCTATCAGCCGAGACGTTTTCTTCATCTGTCGCCGGCCAAAATATTTGATTTGGCCTCTTGCTTGTAAATTATCCGCAAATAGTTAAATCAGTTTCTGTCACAAAGCACCTTGTGGTTTTCACACAAAAAAAAATACTAAAATGAAGATATATAATGCTTGGCATTCTATATGATACTCTTCACAGTTTAACCCCTCATTTTCATTCATATTTTTTTCAGAACCAATAGGCTTCATTCGCTTAAGAGCCGAATCCAGGGGCTGGTAACTCAAATGGAAAAACATGAGGCTGGTAATTTAGTACCACTCCAATTAACGGGATGGCGCTCGTATCGAACTGTCATGTCAGTTGTCAGCTCGTCAAAACTTCAAACAGTTCAAACTCAGATAAAATAAAATGGCTGTTGTATTTGAAGGTGTATTGAATTTTGATTCATCTATAATCTAGATTTATTTTTCAACACCTTCCAATTTTAAGCATGTTTTCAAAAGATGGGAAGATGGATTTCAGCAACAAACAATAAAGCACTCCCAGATATTGGTAGTAATGCAATTTATACCACATTAAATATGCAGTCGTCCCCCAAATTGTAATAATGCACCATCACTGTACCAACGGTAAGTAATATCTACAAACTTGTATTTGATTCAGTGTTAAAATAATTGGTTTGTTATTTAAATTTCTTTTTGTTTTCAGTTTTTAAATGATCATTTTTATAAAGAAAATGTTGGCCCTCCAAAATACCCTGTCGATCGATGAAATATTTGGGCCTCAGCCATCAATATCAAAAATTGATTCAATGCCATTGACATCAAACAAGAAAACACCCTAAAATCTTCAAGGTTCCAAATGTGTGTAAGTTTGATTTATGCTCAAATGTTAAATTTATTTATCACCCTGCCCACATGATGAATAAAAATTTGATAACTACAAGTGCTGTATAAATGAATCAAGAAAACAACTATCGGATGAAGAAATGCTCCTCAACCTAACTAGTCAACTCAATAACTGTATGGCAAATTTTATCCACACTCAAATTTGCTTCGATAGTAAAAAAGGATGATGGATGCTTCAACCTCGATTTTTTCAAACTTATTTGCCACTCCAAGTCGCAAAACTTTTATAAAGGTCTTGAGCACTTATATATGCTGATTTTGTTACAGAAAACATTTTTGATAGGTTTTTTTTTTATAAATATTTAATTATTTAAATGGTGTAAATGCATATTTGTTTGAGTATTTCCATGTTTAAATAGACAAATTATATGATGCGGCGTTAATTTACTGTAATAAATAAAATAAAATAAATTGCATTTTATTTCAAGTTTGAAATTAATGCAAAAATATAATGAAGTAAAATCAAATAAAGATAAAAATTGGCAAAATATTTGACTAGTTTCAAATCACAAAACAGTCAATATGGTTGTTTTATGATTTAAAACTAGTCAAATATTTTTCCAATTTTTTTGCTTTATTTGATTTTCTTTATTACATTTTTGCGCTACTACAAAGTTAAATTTCAAAAAGCCCACTCATGGCGGCCATATTGAATTTTAGTACCACTCCAATTTGATAGATGGCAGCACATCGACTCATAATTTTACCATTGAGTTTCCCATCTATTCAAGTAATCTATGGCCGAATCCAGCGTTGTGTTAAACGAAGTTTAAATTACTAAGGACCGATTCCACCGTTGTGTTAAACGGAGATTAAAATGACATTGTTAATGTAAAAATTTCATTTTAAACTTCGTTTAACACAACGGTGGAATCGATCCTAAACGAATATTTAAATGACATCATTAATGTAATAATGTCATTTTAATCTTCCTTTAGTAATTTAAACTTAGGACCGATTCCACCGTTGTGTTAAACGAAGTTTAAAATGACAGTTTTACATTAACAATGTCTTTTTAATCTCCGTTTAACACAAAGGTGGAATCGGCCCTTAGAAAGATTGATTTTTCTTCAAGATTTCTTGTTGATATCGCTTTTGGTGTTTGATTTCTATTTTTTGGTTTTTCAACCCTCCTTAAGGGTTAACTCTCCATTTCGTTCACGATTTTTTTTTAAATCATAGACTTTGTCCCAATATAGAGCTTGATTTGTGCTAAAAATGTCAAGTTGATATTGTTTTTCGTTTTTGATTTAGGATATTTTTAAAATATTTCAAAAACACTTCATTTTTATTTGTTTTTTTTTTTAATCAATAGGCTTGATTCCCTTTCGCCCGTATGCACCGTACACGTTTAATCCAGATCAAGGGTTTAATCGAGTTTAGTACCATAACTAAATATCGATTAATTCAATAAATCGATTAATTTCAAAAAATCGATCAGTGATTATTTTCGATTAATCGATTACTTTCGAATATTCAATTAATATCAATTAATCGATTATTTATGATTATTCTATTATTTTCGAATAATCGGTTATTTAAAATTAATCGATTTTTTTGATTATTCAATTATTTTTAAATAATGCCATTATTTTTGATTATTCGATTATTTGATTATTCGATTATTGTCGATTATTGTCGATTTTTGTCGATTATTTTCGATTAATCGATTAGTTTCAATTATTTTCGACTAATTGATTATTTTATATAATCGATAATGGATTATTTATTTTGATAATCGCCCAGTTCCCCTTTTTCCCAGTTTTAGTAAGATCTTGTAGAGCCTAATTTTTAATAAAAATTTCAAGTTAATATCTTTTCGTTTTTGAGTTAGAATTTTTTTAAATATTTTAAACCTCTCATTTTAATTTAGATTTTTTCAGAATCAATAGGCTTTATTCCCTTATAAAGCTTGATTTTCCTGAGGATTTCAATTAAATATCGTTTTTTGTTTCTGAATTAGGATTTTTTTCAATATTTCAACTAGGGGTGTGCAAAATAATGGATTATTTTCGATTAATCAATTATTTTCGAATATTTTCGAATATTTTCGAATATTTTCGAATATTTTCGAATATTTTTGAATATTTTCGAATATTTTCGAATATTTTCGAATATTTTCGAATATTTTCGAATATTTTCGAATATTTTCGGATATTTTCGAATATTTTCGAATATTTTCGAATATTTTCGAATATTTTCGAATATTTTCGAATATTCTATTATTTTTGATTAATCGATTATTTTCGACAATCGATTATTTCCTATTATTCGATTATTTTAGAATAATCGATTATTTAAAAATAATCGATTATTTCGATTAATCGATTATTTTTAAATAATTTCATTATTTTCGATAAATCAATTTTTTTTAATTAGTCGATTATTCGATTAAATTCAATTAAGCGATTATTTTCGATATTCGATTATTGTCGATTCTTTTCGATTGGTCGATTATTTTCGATTAACCGATTATTTTGGATTAGTCGATTATTTTCGATCAATCGATTATTTTCGAATAATCGATTATTTTTGAATAATCGATTATTTTTGAATAATCGATTATTTTCGATAAATCGATATTATTCGATTAATCGATTATTTTCGATTAATCTATTATTTTCGTTTAATCGATTATTTATTTTGATAATCGCCCAATCCCCCTTAATCCCAGTTTTAGGTCAGATTTTTTTTTATAATCAATAGGTTTCATTCTCTTGTAGAGCTCTTCATTTTTGATTTATTACTTTTTTTTTAATATGTCAGCAACTCCTCTCAACCCCCCTCATTTTAATTCAGATTTTTTTCAAACTCAATAGGATTCATATTTTATAGAGCTTGATTTTTACCAAAAATTTCAAGGTCGATATCGCTTTTCGTTTTTGATTTTTTTTTATTTCAACCTCTTTAATCCCCCATTTTTTATTACATTTTTAGTTTTTAAGTTATGATTTTTTTACTATTTCTACCCCTCTTAACCCCTCTATTTTTATTCAGATTTTTTTCAAAATCAATAGGCTTTGTCCCCTTATATAGCTTTATTCTTCCTGAAATTTTCAAGTTGATATAATTTTTAGTTTTTTAGTTAGAATTTTTTTACTCTTTCTACCCATCTTTTAACCCCCTATTTTTTTTAAGATTTTTTCAAAATTATTAGGCTTCGTCCTCTTATATAGCTTGATTTTTCTGAAATTTTCAAATTGATATCGTTTTTCGTTTTTGACAAAAAACGTGACATCGAACGTACGGACAAGACAAACGGATGAAGCGAATGTATAATACTCTTCACAGACTACTGTGTGAAAAGTATAATAAAGAGTGTTTTCATCACATACTTTGATTACTATACGAGGCAAGAGAGAAATCCGACACGCCCAACATAGGGCGCGGCCATTTTGATCCCTGTGACACAGTTTACAGCTAAAGAATCAGATCGCTCACTCTGCGTCGGCACTTTTGATCTCAATGTTTCAGTTTATACACTGCACAACTTGGATAATACAATATTTGACAACCGCCTATAATAAAACAGCAGTCTTCTGCGTATACTGAATTTGTATGCCTGGAGTGGATGTTATTTTGGAATTTTCAACTTGTCCGAGTGAGCTAACTGATTCTTTAGCAATAAACTGTGACTTCAAAAATAATATTCACTGACACTGACAGCAGCAAGCAAAATATCAGGTGCGTTTTAATCATCCGTTTCTGCTTCCGGAATTGTCGGTTTAGTCGTTTTAACCTGTCAGATTAAAACAAGAAAACCGACAATTCCGAAGCAGAAGCGGATGATTAAAACGCACTTATTGAAAATATTGCGCCAAGATGTAGGCAACACGTAATAAGGGTTCAAAATGGTGGAGTTTTCTATCTCCTTTTAAAAGGCACTCAGAAAGCTGCGCAGTGCGACTATTCTCCGTGTAGTAAAAGAAAATCAAAGTATGTGGTTTTCATATGTGATTTCACATATTGGTGGTTTGATCACAGCTTACCTACCAGGTAAGTTGTGGTTTCGTGTTTTGGATTTTAACTAATTCTTTATTGGTTTGCTTATATGT